ATGTTTTATGTACTTTATTTTATAATCTACTCACCAACACACTTAGGATCACTATCATGTTTCCGAAAACCACTCTTACAGTTACACTCGTACGTCCCAATTAAGTTACGACATTCTGAGTTTTCCGGACATATATCAAGTTGCAGGCACTCGTTCTTGTCTGAAAAAAAGTTAAGTTTCGGTAATAAATGTCTTTACTATTTATTAGTATCAATAATAACATAAACATTACAATATTATTAGGATAACCATTAAATAATGGAAATGTTAAACTATATTTAGTGGAATATCCATCAGCTTGTGTAATTTCAGTAGATATATACGTATAGAAGGAAGTACATCCTCACATCTATCTCGTACATATATTATATAATTCATTGTATCAGACGTTTGTTTAAAACAAGTTCAAGTTACGATAGCTGGGGAAGACAAAGACCAAACATAATGTTTAAAAAAAACTGGAGTGATTTAATGAATCTAAAGTACCTAACGTACATAAAGTAATATAGCTAACTTACCTATCTTAAAGTATCAGACTTACTTAACCTAAAGTGGCTAACTTACCTATCTTAAAGTATCAGACTTACTTAACCTAAAGGCTAAGGTACATAACTTACCTAAACTAAAGTAGCTAACTTACCTAACGTAATTACTATACCTCGCTTAACCTAATTTACCCAACTTACCTAGACTAACAAAGCTACCTCACCAGCCTAACATAGCTAACTTATTTAACCGAATAACTTGGAATGAGAGGCAGAGGTATATAGCTAAGAAGGATTAGCCTATAAACACTTTAAGAGCAATGAGCTTTACAGGCCTATCAAACTGGTACATCGAAGCGATTTATAGGCCTAACAAAATAGCAGATAAAAGAGCTTTGTAGACCTAACAAACTTGCAGACCAAGAAGCGTTATAGGCATAACAAACTGGCAGATAAATATAGTTAAAACCGCAAAATCGATAAAAATATCGAAATTAAATAATAAGTTGAACAATTGTCAAGTTTTTATATTTTTATTTAAAGGATGACGTTTCAAGCTAGCGCTCTTCGTCAATAGGCTTTGTAGGCCTAACAAACTGGCAGACCAAGGAGCTTTATCGGATTAGCGAATGAAAATCATATTTTTGTGCTTTACATTTCTTTTTAATTAGATTATTACGAATATTTTTAATGTAAGAAGTACATAAACTGACATTTTCTGTTTACATAAAAACTAAACAATATTATGATACCTAGTAATGAATAAAAACCCTATAACCCGAGCGCTTTCGAAAAGTGGACCTTTCTTATTCAGTTTGCTCCTGAAGAAGAAACGTCCACCTTTCGAAAGCACTCAGGTTATGGGGTTTTTATTCATTTTTATCAAGCCTTTTTGAACCTACGTGTTTTTCTAACATCACGAATTATACCAAGTAATTTAATAATTAATTCTGTTTTTACCTATGCATATTTCAGTTGGATACTTTTTCTCTATATCTTTACCACCAGTAAAATTTCTCAATGAAATATATCCTTCTGTGCACGTGCACCAATAGCTGACGTTGTCTTCAGAGCAAACGGTTCTTATTGGACAGAAATTTAAGCCATTGGTTTCCAGGCATCGCTGTATTGGTTTGAAGTTTTCTGTAAAAAAATTTTACACAGAAGAATAATGAGCGAACAGTTGTAATATTTCGGATCTCTTGAGAATTTTTATTTATTATTTTACTGTGATTAATAAATGTAGCATAGCTTTAATACTTGTTCCCTTAGAATAACTGTAGGTATATTTCGTATTTAGTGGTCCTGTTTTAAATTCTGTCACATAGTAAATAATGAAAGTAAACAATTCAATTAAAATTTGTAGCTTATGTTCTATTTTTCATAAATTGTAGTATTTCCTGGAGCAGTTTAGACATTTTGGCAATAAAGTTACAAAGAAAATATTAACTCTCCAGATAATGATTATAATAGTCTGATTTCTGCCAGAGTTTTGCCATTGTGGCTTCCTGTAGATTTTTGACTGAAGCACATAGCCTTGATAAATAAATAAAATTGATTTTACTATAAAAGTGTATGACTTTATAATTCAGTCCCATTAAATATTTAATTTTCTATGTATTATCTGAGTTTATTGTTTAATTTCTTGTGTATTATTTTGGATTACTGATTGGCTGATTCATTTTTAATGTTTTATCTTGGATTACTGATTGGCTGATTCATTTTTAGTGTTTTACCTTGGATTCCTGAGTGGCTGTTTAATTTTCTGATTAATGAAAAAACAGCTTTAAAAGTTAAAAGAATTTTTATATAATTGGCTAGTTTTATAATAGTTAAGCACAAAGCTAAACAATGGCTATCTGTGCTATGGGTTTTTAGTGTTATAAGCCTTTATTATTTTTTCTGGAATATCACTCACCTTTTTTAAGCCAGG